ACCACAAGGTCAGCAGTTCAAAACTACCAGCTGCTCCGTGGGAGAAAGATGAGGCTTTCTGCTCCTGTAAAGATTTACAGCCTCGGAAACCCTGTTCAGGGTCGCTATGGGTCAGAACTGACTCGACGACACTTAACAACAACAACAACCACTGTCAGCAGTTCAAACACACTATAGGAAACCCTATACAGGGTCACTATGAGTCAGAATAGACTCAAAGCACACAACAACTACAAATCAATAATAAATAGAAATTTCCTGTGACTCAATGAGCTTTTTCATTCAGATTCTGAGAAATAAACTAGTCCACCTTTTTAATTCAGTACTAGCACTATAACCCAAATAGGTATTTGGAAAGAGATACACTGTGAATCATTACTGAACTACTCTTTTCTGATTTGTTTTATACCTTGATGTAGTGAAGTAGTTCTCACTTTTCTTATCTATCTTAAGGCATTACTTTATGTATTCTCCCCTCTGTTCTCTCCTCCCATCAAATTTTATTTTCCACAGGCTTATTTAAACCTGCATACATTCTGTTATTTTTCCTATGTAGAGGAAGGAAGGATGAAAGAAAGCAAAAACATGTTGTCTCTAAATTTCCCTATAGCTCTATGTCTCTCTCTCTCTCTTGCTATCTGTCTCAATTTCTGTCTCTCACTCTTTCTCTCTCTTTCTCTCTCTCTTCATCTTTTTCTCCCTCTCTTTGTCTCTCTCTCTCCACGACAATAAAACACCATCGAAGAGTTGTCTATATGCCAGGATTCAATTTCTTCCTCCCAAGTTTTCTTGATTTTACTCCAATCATACTGTTTCCTACACCTTGCACTGCGTGTTATAGTGACCTTCACTTCACACTGCTGAATCCATTCATCAAGACTCAGTCTATATCTTGTATACCACATAAGCAACATTTGATGCAATCAAGCATGCTCTCATTCTTGAAAATTCTTACTCATCATACCTTCTTCAGGACTTCTTCAGGAGTCCTGGTGTGGCACGTGAGTTAATGCGCTGGACTGCAAAGTTGGTTTGAATTACAAGGTCAGTGGCTCAAGCTCACCAGCTGCTCCTTGGAAATCCTATACAGGGTCGCTATAAGTAGGAACTGACTCTACAGCACTTAACAACTTTCTTCATGCTACAATGATCAAGATAACTGCCTCAGTCTCTTTGATGAGTTTTCCCAATCTCCTTAACTTTTTATCGCTGTAATGTCCAGGGTTCAGTCTTTTCTCTATCACCTTTAATTTTATGAATGGATTCAGATGAGGATTTCTCAACCTCAGCACTATAGACATTTTGAGTCAGTCAATTCTCCTGTGAGATCAGTTAATTTTGTGTTGAGGTCTACCTTGAGCATTATAGTATGTTTAGCAGCATCCTTGGACTCTACCAACCTGATGCTGATATCATTCCTCAATTACAGGTCTGATGATCAAAAAATTTTTCCAGTCAATGTCAAATTTCTCTTGGACAGAGTAAATATCATCCATGTTTGAGAAACACTTCTTTAGACCCACCAATATGCTAAGAATTTCCATAAGTGTATCTCCAACTTTTAATTTATGCTTGAACACTAGTTTACACTTCTTATTTATTTACACTAGTTACATTTCATATTTAACATATCTACATGGCCATTTACCAGTATCTCAACCTTAACATGTCCAGAATCTAACTTCTTTTTCTGTAATTTGTGTGTGTGTGTGTGTGTGTGTGAATGCTTTGAAGGTTTGCAGAGAAGATCATCATACACTTTGTTTCATCTCAATGATTACAGTTTCCTCCATACAACAGTTATCCCATATCCCCCCTTTAGTTCCTATTTCCATTCCATCTCTTCCCATCCCTTCCCAACTTTATCCTTAGGTAAATGTTGACCTTTTGATCTTGAATGTTTGACCATTCCAAGGTGACTATACCTTACTAGTGTTACTATCTTGTCATCAAACTTCCTCTTATAGCAGCTTTTCCTGTATCATTTAATAGCAACTTTATAGTCTCAATCACTTAGGTTCATATTCTTGGAGTTATGTTTAGCTCTGTTTCATATTTACATCAGTGCCATAAAAGAGTCCTGGTGGCATAGTGGTTTAAATGCTTGGCTCTTAACTGAAGAGTGAGCAGCTTAAATCCACAAGCTATTCAATGGAAAAGTGACGTGATAGTCTTTCTATAAAAAGGTCTAACCTTAGAAATCTTAAGGGGCAGTTCTACTCTGTCCTATAAGGTTGCAGTGAGTCAAAGTTGACTCAATGACGTGCTTTTAGTGGATTGAAATGCCTTCCAAAAAGTTCCTTAGTATCTCTCTTCCTCTCTCCTCCACTGTCTAGTAATACAAAGTTTATAATGATGCTCTTAAAATATAAATCAAATCTCACATTGTTTTTCTCAAGTCTTTGCCAAACATACTCGAGTAAACTCCATAGTCCTTACTACGAACTACATGATTAATATGATCTGTCTTATAAACTCTTCTTCTACTTTCCTCTCTCACTCTGCCCCAACTACACTGGCTTCTTTTCTATTGCACTAATAGGACATATAGGAGCTCTGGTAGCGTAGTGGTTACAAATCGGGCTGTGAGCCTTAAGGTCAGCGGTTCCAAACTACCAGCCACTCCATGGGAGAAAGATGAGGCTTTCTACTCCCATAAGGATTTACACCCTCGGAAACCCTGTACAGGTCGCTATGGGTCGGAACCGACTCGACGGCACTTAACAACAACAACAACAAATAGGACATAAATACTTCCTCCCTCCCTGAGGTCTCTTGCATGTGTGTTTCCCCTGCTGGATCCTTCTGTGTGTAGATATCTGCATGGCTTGGTACCTTGCCTCCTTTAGGTCTTTGTTCAGATTCAACTTTTTTTTAAGGATACCTTCTCTGACCATTTTGTTTAAAAAAGAAATTTCTACAGAATCCCACTGTCTATCCTTTTATGTACTTTTATTTTTCTTCAAAATCTTTATAATCGTCCAGCATAGTAATGATATGATGAATCAAAGCCTTAGCAGAGATTAATATATTCCATGATTTATTTACTTATCTTGTTTATATTCTAACTTCTAAAAGTAAAATATATAAGCCCCATGAAAGTGAAGATTTTTGCTTCAATTACTTCTATATAGCCTAAATTTGAAACAGTGTTTGGCACACTATCAGCACACAATAAAAATTTATTGATTAAGTTAAATTCAATTACTGAATTGGTAAACTGATGGATGAATCAATTATTTAATTGAAATCATCAGCAGCAATTTCTAAGGTGTTTGGATAATCTTAAAACTGGTGATTCAATGTCCATGGACAGTTTGGTAGGATTTTTTAACATTTTATAGGTATTGGATAAACCTGTGGAGAGGAATATTCATTTCAGGGAGAGTCTCTCAAGGAATCTCATCAGTAGGTACCTAAGACAGTTAGGCAGTTGGCTGCAAGCTACTGTTCCAGCAATATTTCCTATTTCATCTTTTATAACTGTCTCTTATATACATACACACACACACATATATAAGAGATGCTTCACCTCTCTATGGATCATGTCTTGATCTCCCAAACCTCTGAGTTTTTTGTTCTTGTTATTAATTTTAATGCTCTTAAGAAGCAGTACATCTTTTTTTTTTCACTTCCTACCTCAACCTCATTCAATTTACTAGTTTATTTATTATTTGCCATTGCCTTCTCCTTCAGCAAATTAATGTGAGCCTACTTTCTAGTTAATAATTTACCCTCCATTCCCTTTACTCCCCTGATAACCATCAGAGAAGGTTTCTATTAGTGTAAAAACTTTTTCCTGACTCTATGATAGTGGTACATAATTAAGTGGTCTCCTCCTTTTGTGATTGTTTTTTTCACTCAGCATAATGTCCTCCAGGTTCACCCATGTTATGAAGTATTACACAGATTCATTGTTATGCTTTAATGTTGCCTAGTATTCCACGTGTGTGGATGTACCATAGTTTGTTTATCCATTCTTCCATGCATGAACATTTAGATTGTTTTCATTTTTTGCTATTGTGAATCATGAATCATGCTGTAATAACACTTGAGTGTACATTTATCTATTTGTGTCAAGCTTTTATTTTTCTAGGATATATAACAAGTTTTGGTATTACTAAATCATTTGGTATTTCTATTTCCAACTCCTTAAGGAAGTGCCATGCCATCTCCCACCGCGGTTGCACCTTTTCATAGACCCACTAGCAATGAATGAGGATTTCAGTCACTCCACACCCTTAAATTTTGTCACACATGAATTTCATCTTTCTTTGATAGGCTGTTGAATTTGTACTCAGACTTCAAGAACAATCAAAAACCTTACTTTCTTTGAGAGTCTGTTGTAAATATCTTGCACAGTATATAATAGAAACTGATGCTTTCTTGAAGAGAAAATCTGTTCCCCTTCTTTTTATAAAAAATATTTGTTTACTAAGTCAGATCATACTGCAGAAATAAAATCTGTATTTTTTTTTCAATGTAGAGATATTCACTGGTAATGTCATTTTAGAGAACATTGGTATAAATTTTCTGTTA